GCTTTCTTGAAAAAGGAGGTCAGGCAAGGTGGCTTAGGCTTCTAATCCCAGTCAGAAGTCCAAGACCAGCCTGGCCAACGTGGAGAAACCCCATCTCTACTAAAAATACAAAAATTAGCCAGGCATGGTGGTGTACAACTGTAGTCCCAGCTACTTGGGAGGCTAAGGCTGGAGAATAGTTTGAACCTAGGAGGCGGAGGTGGCAGTGAGCTGAGATCGTGCCTTTGCACTCCAGCCTGGGCAGCAAGAGCAAGACTCCGTCTCAAAAAAAGAAAAAGGGTAGCAAGCATTTCATTCTTTCAGAAGCGTCTGGGACCTACCACCTAGGAACCAGAACCTCTAGGGTGCTTTCAGACCTTAACATCTAGCACAGGGCCCAGCACATACTCTGTTGAACCGAACAGGCTGAGTGCCTTGGCATGACTGACTAAGTTAGATCCACAGAAGTAGGCTGCAGAGTTCCTTCTGGCTGCCATCAAGATTCAGAGTTCGCCGTAGGTGCAGTCAGCCCGTCTGAATTTGCCTCTGGATCCTCCAGCTTGGGCCATCAAAGTGCTATTGCTGTGGAAGCAGCGGACAATAACGGGGTCTACGCTTGCCTATGAGCACTTCCCTTCATGGTACCCTTTTCAGTCGCCCCAGTGGGAACTTTCCTTCTGGTGGTTTCTTAACCTCCACTTACTCCCCTTCTCGTTGTTTCATCTGCAGAGGCTCCGGGGGGACCTGGGGGACTTCTTTGTGGGCTGCATCTTCACGGCAGAACTGAGCACACCATTTGTGTCGCTGGGCAGAGTTCTGATTCAGGCACGTATGAACGCAGTGGCAGGAACCGCGCATGCAGGAGGGAGGGAGTGGATCCCGCTTTTCCTTGGGAGATGGTGGGGTGTGGAGAAATCCCTGCTGCTAGAAGAGTCGGGTAGGAGATCCTTCCGTAGACTTCAAAGTCAGCTGGTCCTCTGAGTCAGTGGGATGAAATTGTAGGTTTGATCTGAGTTTGATCCAGTTCATTCTACTTTTTCCCTGGTCACATACTTTCCTCTAATCCACTGTTCCCGTCAGCTGGGTGGCCTAGGTGAAATTCAACATCACTACCAGGAAAAATGAGGTTATATGCATGTATCAATATGATAGTGTTCAATAATGTCTTTGACAAATGTCAGAAAACTAGACACGCATCAGGGAGTCTGGCAGCCCGTCTGGGTGAGCAGCTGCACCTGCACAGCTTTTCTGCCATGGGACTTGGTGCAGTCAATCCCTGACACCCAGCCTCTTGGGGACCTTCCCTTTGTCCTTCCTCTTCTGCAGCTAAAGCAGCAGCACACCCTTCTGTACAAGGTGAACGGAGTCCTCACACTGGCCACCTTCCTTTGCTGCCGGATCCTTCTCTTCCCCTTCATGTACTGGTCCTACGGCCACCAGCAGGGACTAAGCCTGCTGCAAGTGCCCTTCCGCATTCCCTTCTTCTGCAACGTGGCCAATGCCTTCCTCATCGCCCCTCAGATCTACTGGTTCTCTCTGCTGTGCAGGAAGGCACTCCGGCTCTTTGACAATCCCCAAGCCAAAAAGGATGGTTAAGCACTCCCTAGAGTCGGGCAGTAAGGGTGCAGCCTCACACCAGCTGCCTCCTCCGCTCAGTATTCCGTGGACCAAACTGTGCCCTGGATGGCCTCAGACTTTTGGGTATTGATAAGCAGATGGATTTGAGTTTTTCTAAAGAATATTCACATTACCTCCTTCTAACCTGTCCCATTTGCAAAAGCACTTTTGTAGTAACACCTATTGGGTGTACAGACCTCCCTGGGCAGCAAGGTGGCTTTCATGCAAGCCCAAGGATCCTTCTTTGGGTCTTATCTCTAGAGCTCTGGGAGGTGGAAGCATGGGGTGTGCTCGGTAGACCAGGGTGATAAGTGTCTGGGCATGGGCCTGTCCCTATATCTGCGGCTACCCACCTTTCCAACCACTCAGGGCAGTACCCATGGTTCTGGGCCAGCAGAAGCAAGTGGTGACTTCCTGTGACACTGGCCTGGGAAAATCATTGTGGGTAGGTAGTTTTTGTTTACTAGATAACCCATTGATTGGTTCTTTGCCTCATCCTCTCATCCATGGGTCAACGTTGAATTCTCACATCTACTGACTTCCAATCAGAAGTCTCACTGGTGGGGCTGGGGTTAGGCAGGCCAGAGGCAGGGATGGGAACCTGAGTAGGTAGTGTGGCCAAGTCAGCACAACCTTTGCAGGCTGACTTAGTAAGACCAGTGTCAACCTTGTGAGCTTACTGCCGGCAGTCACAAACACCATTCTTTTTAACATGTCCCTTCGTGCCCAGCTTTCCCCATATCCACATGCAGAGGACGCGCTTGTAAAAACTACAGGGGCAATGTGAAATGATGGCTTTGGTAGCCATTTACTGGGTAACCCCACTCCATGACACTGTCCTTTCCATGTGATGTGGAAACCAACTTCTGTACTCCAAACCACGAAACGTCTCATCTAGACTGCAAAGTACTTAGCCTCCTGATGAGCCAGAGCTTGGGGTGCAGAGCCCATTTCTGTGTGTGTCCTGCCATTTAGCCACAGAAGGCTGCAGAGCAAGGGGACAGCCAGCCTGGCCAGAGGCCATCCTGTGGACCGACACCTGCACCTCCTTCTGCAAACGGGATTTTCTGGTGCCAACACTAATCATCCCCTATCGACTAGGATGAGTTTGAGACTGTGCTCAAGTGTAGTTTAAAACGTGAATTTTTAAAGTGCCTTTTAATTCATTGTCTGTGAACTTGTAAAGAACTGAATGATCCGTCTCATTTTGACTGTTTAGTCTTTAATGGGTGCCATTTAAAAAACAAAGTGCTATTAATTTTTTTAACTGTCTTTTTTAAACTATCAGTGTATCTTTGAAAGTCACCCTTCTGGTGATTAAATTGCACTAACATTCCCAACTTACTCTCATTTGTGAAGTACATCAGTATCAGTTTCCTTTAAGAATCATCCTGTCACGCCCCCTCCCAGCCGCCAACCCACCACCAACTGGCTGCTGTGTGCTATAGTTCCATGTTGATGTCCATGTTAACTAGCAGAGGGGTTTGGCACGTGTGAATGCTTTCAGCCTCCAGAGAGGTCCAGCTCACACGTCACTCAAACCTATGCTGTGGTTCCCAGAGTTCAAGTGTAGTGGTCACATGAAACTGGAGGCCCTTTCTTCTGTTCCTAATTGAACCCTGTTAGGAACTGGGAGAGTCAAAGCCTGATTACCGGTCAGAGAGCCAAGCCTGCTTTAGTTGGGGGAGAGAACCTGAGTAATGCCCCATTTTGAAGGAAGTTGTGTGGATGGAGATAGTGTTGGGACATAATCTTTCCCCTCCTCATCTCAAAATAAACATGTCCCCAGCCCATTCTCATAGTTTCCTAATACCCGAGACACCTTAAACTCATTTTCTCTTTATGTAGGGACAGATATCTCTGTTGCCCAGGCTGGTCTCAAACTCCTGGCCTCAACGGAGCCGCTGAAAACACGGGGATTATTACAGGTGTGAGCCACCACCGTGTCTAGCCCTCTCTCTCTCTCTCTCTCTCTCTCTGTGTGTGTGTGTGTGTGTATATATATATATATATATATATATATTTTTTTTTTTTTTTTTTTTTTGAGATGAGGTCTCACTTTGTCACCCAGGCTGGAGTGCAGTGGTGTGATCTCAGTTCACTGCAGCCTCAACCTCCCAGGATTAAGTGCTCCTGCTGCCTTAGCCTCCTGAATAGCTAGGACTACAGGTGTGTGTCACCACATCCAGCTAGTTTTTGCATTTTTTTTGTAGAGATAGGGCCTCCATATGTTGTCTGGGCTGGTCTCAAGTGATCATCCTGCCTCTTATTGCCCCAGCTACTCAGGAGGCTGAGGCAGGAGGATCACTTGAGTCCACAGGTTCAAGACCAGCCTGGGCAACAAAGACTGTAAGCAGTCCTCAATTCAGAGGGGACCTATTTTCCTGAGGTCATTAATCTAGCCCCTTGCCACTCAATTTATGTTGGTCCTCCAATCCTCTCATTTTAGAATTGTGCAGGCTTCTCAGGCACAGCAATCTCATGGCCAGAGGCAGAACCAGGGCTGGAGTAGATTCTTTTCCAAGCTGCTGTCCTTTCCAAGATACCTCATGAAAAAAACATTAAAATACAAAGTAACTCTTGAAGGGGGTTGCACATACCCTGTCATGTTTTTTCAACTCAGACAGTTTTAACTTTGGGCTTATTTGCCAAAATCTAGGATGGAAAAGTCCAGTTATGGCTGGGCGTGGTGGCTCACACTTTGGGAGGCCGAGGCGGGCAGATCACAAGGTCAAGAGATTGAGACCATCCTGGCCAACATAGTGAAACCCCATCTCTACTAAAAAAATACAAAAATTGGCCAGACGTGGTGGCTCAAGCCTGTAATCCCAGCACTTTGGGAGGCCGAGGCGGGTGGATCACGAGGTCAAGAGATCGAGACCATCCTGGTCAACATGGTGAAACCCTGTCTCTACTAAAAATACAAAAAATTAGCTGGGCATGGTGGCGCGTGCCTGTAATCCCAGCTACTCAGGAGGCTGAGGCAGGAGAATTGCCTGAATTCAGGAGGCGGAGGTTGTGGTGAGCCGAGATCGCGCCATTGCACTCCAGCCTGGGTAACAAGAGCGAAACTCCGTCTCAAAAAAAAAAAAAAAAAAGACAAAAATTAGCTGGTCATGGTGGCGCACGCCTGTAGTCCCAGCTACTTGGGAGGCTGAGGCAGAAGAATTGCTTGAACCCAGGAGGCGGAGGTTGCAGTGAGCTGAGATCGCGCCATTGCACTCCAGCCTGGCACCTGGCAACAGAGCAACACTCTTGTCTCAAAAAAAAAAAAAAAAAAAAAAAAAAGTCCAAAGTCCAGTTATGAACATGTCCCTCTGGGCTGAATTCAATCTTGAAGACACTAAACTCAATTTCAGAGCATACATAATCAATCCTGGGCTATTGCTGTGGCAGACTTAAAGTGAGATGCAAAAGGGAATGTTTATTATAGTTTGTACATTATAAATACCTAAGAAACTATTTTCTTTACACCATTATTGCCATGATTTCCTGTGGATAGTTTCACGCAGCTGTAAAGCCCATGCTGCATGGGTCTGGCCCCTACGGACACGTCATGTTTAGCCCCAGCTTTTCTGCTACAGGCCAAGGTCAGAAGCTGCTGATCTTCTGCAGCAGTGTCTGGCGCCGCCCCTCGGGGCTGATGTTCTCAGCAATGGACTTCAGGAAGCGCTGCTCGTTCACCTTCTGGAGCAGGGAGGTGACAGATGGGTTGGCCTTGCTAAGAGTCTCATAGCAGGTGAGAGTTTCCAAGGCTAAAACATACAGTGGCTCACAGACCTCTTGGTGGAGCATGGCCATGATGTGCAGAGCATGACAGAACACTTGGGTATAGACAAACAGGGCTTCCTGGGTCAGGTCCTGCTCTTGTCCCTGCGTCCACGGGCCAACTGACTGTATCAACCTGACTGAGTCCAGGAGGCTGGTCAGACTGCCACACAGGAGTCTGACCACATGGTTCCAGCCTTCCAGAGGAAGCCAATTTTGACAACTCTGACTACAGAGAAACTGGAAAGTCCTCAGGAAGAGTACGGAGAGCTGGAGCTCCTGGGCAAAGGGCTTCAGATTCAGCAGAGGAACAAACTGAATATACTCCAGGCTATACGGGACATGCAGCAGCTGTTTCTCCAGCAGCCTCCTGGTCAAATGGTGAAGGTGCTGCCACTCCTGAGGGCTGCACCAAGGCATGACTTGCACAAGGGCCACCAAAAAGCCTTTGCTGAACAACCTGACCTCCTCAGGACTACCCACATCCACCACCAAGAGAGACAGCATCCTCTCTGAGAGGCTGCTGGAGATGCAGCAGCACTCCATCCAGGCTAGGAGCCCAGTGCCTGGCCCATACCCCGGGTGGGCCTGGGAGGTCCACTCATCCTCAGAAAGCTTACAGATCTCAAAAAGTGTGGCTGGCACCTCACACTTGAAGTGTCCCTCAAAGAAGGTCTTCAGTCTCAGGCCCACAGTCCAGTCGAGCTGCTCTAACTTGCGGTGGAGCCAGGACAGGGACTTGATCCAGGCGTCCGGGGAGAAGGTCTCGGCATTGGCTAATACGATCTCACACAGGAGCTCCAGGATATGGGCCGCCAGATCCTTCCTCTCCAAAGACAAATGCCGCTTCTCCTTGGGGAGCTGCCAGTACTTGCTGAAGCTGTCCAGGAGCTGGCACAAGCTGAAGAGGAGTGGGAATGGGGAGCAGGCCTGGAGCCAGTATTCCTCCAGGCATGCATTTGCTTCTAGAGTCTGGAGGAAGATCTTCAGACTGAGGTCCACCTCTTCAACATCTAACATCAAGAATGACAGGACAAATTCTTTCAGCACCTCATCTGGCTCAAGCAGAGCAGCCACTGGAATGCCCTGGGGCTTCGCGGGATTCATCAGGCAGTTCAGGAGCTCCAAAAATTGCTTTTCCTCCTTGGGTGTAGAGAACTTCGCCCAGACAGTTTCTTTGAGGCACGACACCATGAAAGTGGTAGATGAATTCCGACCCTGCTCTTCCACAAACCGAAGGGCAGGGAAGGCAGTGAGAATCTGGGCCAGGAACTTGTGGGTGCCGATATTGACCACAGCCAGGCTGCAGATTTTCTTCACCGTGGCTTCTGGGTGCACTATCATCAGGCGGGCCACGGAGGCCACAGCTTTTGTCAAGCCCTGCTCGGAGGCACTCTGAGTGAGCTGGTTTAAGGTCGTATTGAGGTCTTCTGGAAAACTCTCCACGTAGGCCGGCAACTTTTCAGACAGGCCCTTTTTCCCCCAGGAGTGCAGGACGCCTGCAAGGACTTTGTTTTTGTCTGGTAGGGAGAGGTCTGCATAACATTCCAGTACGGAGTGGAGCACTTGCCGGATCTGAGGCTTGGGGATGGCTCTGTCAGTGGTGCTGGCATCTAGCACTGTTTCCAGCAGGCTCAACACCAAGTCTGGCTCCCTGAAGAGAGCCCTGTTAGTCAGCAGGCAGGCTACCCACTCGTCTGAGAAAGCCCACTTCTTCTCAGACGCAAAAATGTAGCACATTTCCATGTGACGGTCCATCTTCTGCTGGATGATGGCCATGGCAATGGAAGCCGTGATGTCCTGGGAGCCCCTGTTCTTCAGCACCCTGCTGGTTTTGCTCAGGAAGTCCCTGACACACTCTGCCAGCTCAGAGGCCACCTGCCTCTCCTCCTCGGGCAGGTTGGCACAGTTCAGGTAGAGTGCCAGGTTCTGGCTGAAGGAAGTCAGACTGTCGCACAGCCGGTAGCTGTCATAGCTTGTGCCCTGGCTGCTGCAGAGCATGGCTTGCAGCTCCTCCCCCCACTCCCCCAGCAGGGCGCGCATCAATTCCAGGCCCGCGAAAATCGTCTCGCTGGGGAGTTTGGCCAGTGAGGTCAGGCTGACATCCCGTTCTGCCTCCTTCACCTTCTCTGCCAGTGCCTGTTGGTGGTATGGGTTCTGGGTGTCTGAGTTCCACACAGAGATCACCGTGGCCAGTTTGTCCAGATACACGGTTGCAGACACCTCCTGGGGGTCGTCCTCGGTCAGTGCAAACACGCTCAGCATGTCGGCCAGGTTGGCCAGTGCACAGCACTTCCTCCCTAGGCCCAGGATCTGACTCTGGATCTGCATCAGCCCGCGGAGCAGCATGGCCAACAGGGGCATGGTGGGGCAAACGTCTGGCTCAGACCTCAGCCTCTTTGGAGGACGGGGGAACTCATCTAAGACAGGCAAGTACTTATGGGCCATTGAGCTGAACTGGGAGAGCAGGGGGTCCTGCGGATTACCCCGGTGCTTCATCATTTCCCACCAGACATCCAGGAAGAAGGCCACGTCCTCGGAGGACGTGTCAATGCTCACGTGCTCCAAAAAGCGCTCGAGTTCTGCACAGCAGACAGTGGCGGGCAGGGCCATCAGGAGCTGGATAAAGAGTCCAGAAGCTTCTAGGGACTTGAGCAGCTCAAAGAGGACGGTGTGATTGAGGGTGGGGATCATGTTGCCCACTGAGAAGAACACATCTTCCTGCCACCGAGTGTCCGCGTCGGAAGAGGTCACAGGCTGGGGCTGCAGAACCTTGGCCCAGATGATGATCAGAGCTTTCTTCTTCCAGGCAAAGGGCTGGGAATGTGCTGCAGCCGAGGAGATCTCCCGCAAGGCCTCCACGATGGGCCGCCCAACATGCTCCCAGTCAGACTTGGTCAGTTCTGCCAGAGCTTTGGGGTGGAACAGCTGCTCAGCCAGCAGGAAGCCTCCGTGCAGAATAGTCATTTCCTCACAGATGTTCAAGGGTCCTGCACAGAGAAGTCAAGTAAGACAGTATAGCGCGAATGTCTCAAGATGGTCACTGCAGTTAGGAGGCTGTCAGGGTTAGAGATGACGAGGGTTTTAGAAATCCATGAAGGGGAGAAGAAGGGATGGCCACCACAGCCACTGCAGGGCTGGAGGCAGGACTCAGCCGAGGAATCCAGAATGACTTCCAAGCTCTCTAGCCTGGGAACTGGAAGGACCCTGGGTGGCGTCACATACAGGGAAGGAGGAGAATCAGAACAGGTTTGAGAAGAGACAAGCTCGATTTTGGCTATCAAGGCACAGATGTCCTCCAGCAGTAGAAATGCCCGGTGCAAGCTGCGGAGAAAAGCCAGCTGGGAAATGTGATTCTGGATTTTGGCTATCAAGGAGCAGATGTCCTCCAGCAGTTGCAATGCCGGGTGGAAGTTCAGAGGGGAAGTCAGCTGAGAAATGTGACTCTGAGAGGCATCTGCTCAGAAGGGATCACTGGAACCAAGAGAGAATGAGATCCCTCAGGAAAAGTAAAAAGAACAAGCTGGACTGCTGAGGGCAAACCCTTCAGCAAAGGATGGGCCAGAGGAGGATGTGGGGAGAGAGGTTTAGAAATAGAGAGCACGAGGACAGTACAAACGACAGGAACCACTGAGCATGTACCACAGGACAGGACAGCTGAGTTTCTCATGACACATCGTGAGGAGAGCCACAATCACACAGCCACAGGCTAATGGGCAGAGCAGCAATCACACAGCCACCGAGTAACAGCACAGCAGCAATCACACAATCACAGGGTAATGGGCACAGCAGCAATCACACAGCCACAGGGTAACGGGCACAGCAGCAATCCAGACACAGGGTAATGGGCACAGCCACAATCACACAGCCACAGGGTAACGGGCACAGCAGCAATCACAAAGCCACAATCACACAGCCTCAGGGTAATGGGCACAGCCACAATCACACAGCCACAGGGTAATGGGCACAGAAGCTACCACACAGCCACAGGTAATGGGCACAGAAGCAATCAGACGAGTCCTGCCTTCATCCTTCATAATCGTGCCTTGGGAACAGGCTTCAAACATTCTTCTACCTTTCAGGGAAACAGTCCACCCCACAGCTCTTTCCAGTCAAAGACAAGCTACTGAAGGCCCTGGCTCTGTGGGAGAAACCAGGGAGTAGATACAGAAAATACTTCATTAGATAAGTCCTTCCTTCAGAAAACTAATAATTGACACAGACTTACCATGGAAGGCATCTTGGGACGTTTAATTGGACATGGGTTTGAATCCTAGATCAGCCATTCAAAAGTAATGTGATTCTGTCCAGGTGCAGTGGCTAGCACTTGTAATCCCGGCTACTTGGGGGGCTGAGGCAGGTGGATCCCTGAGGTCAGGAGTTTAAAACTAGCTAAGGTAACATAGTGAGACTCCCCGACTTCTGAAAAAAGGGGGGTGGGTAAGGGATGTGATCGTGTTCAGATTGCTTCTCCAAGCCTTCCTTCTGCAGCTGTGAGGATAATACAGACTTCCTGTTATGACTCTGATGATCATGTGATATATACCAGTGAAGCCCCTGGTAGTGGGTTGGTACCACTATCTCCTAACCCCATCTCCTGGGGACGCTGTGATGGATAAATGAGATACAGCTACACTAAGAATCAGGTTACAGAGCCTGATCAGGGCTCAGTCAATGTTGGTTTCCCCAAACCTTCTCATGGTTGGCAGGATCAGAATCCTGTCACTGTTCGAAACAACAAAGGACATAGGTTTTTATCAGGTATGTTTCCTTTGGCCCAGGAAGTTAAACGAGGGTACAAACACTGCTCACTATTCCTTATTTCTGCATCCTCTCCCTTCCCAGGATGGAGACACTGCTCACTATTCCTGACTCCTGAATCCTCTCCCTTTCCCAGGATGGAGACACTGTTCACTGTTCCCCACTCCTGAGTCCTCTCTCTTTCCCAGGACCGAGATGCTGCTTCTTCCTCAGTCTCTCATGCCCCTGAGAGCTCACAGTCCCCATTTTACAGGTCAGACACCAGCAGAAATAAAACACGGATTCCAGGAAACGAAGGACTGTGTTGCCCTTGCCACCATGCATGGGTGCAGCCAGCCGCAGGCCCAGCGCTGAGCACTCCCATGTAACCACGTGCGGAGGAAATTCCATCTCAGCTCGCAGTGGCTGAGGCCGAGGCCGCAGAGGGATCTCGCTGGAGTTACGGCCGTTCTTTCTGTCTCAGGAGGCTCTCCCAGACCCCAAAATACGGCCCCTCCTGACGCTGCCAATCTGATTTTACTGCATTATCAGCTTCGCCGGGTTGATGCCTGGCCGTCCACGCGCGCCTTCCAGGCGCAGGCAGTCCGCGGCATTTGCAGCAGTAGTGCCAGGACAGTGACCGCTGGAAAACCCGCCGGCGCCCAGCGCGCGCCAGAGCCAAGCGCTAGGGCTACCGGGTGGTTCCGCGCTCACCGCGCCAGCCCCGCGCCGGGTCACACGCGAGACCTACCGCGTCACGACCACCTTGACAACACCGTTCCCGCTCAGCGCCGGAACACGGAGTTGCAGAAACGCTTTGCCCAGGGCGCCGGGCCGCCATTCCGCTCCTGCGAGCTGGGGCCGGGGCCGGGCTCTCCCGGTCCTCATGCCGACAGTGTCCGGGCGCCGCGGCCCCAGCTCCCCGGACGCCCTCCCGCCCGCTCCGCCTTCCGGGCCTGGCCCCGACTGGCCCCGACCACCCCCGGTACCGAAGCGCGCAGCCGCCCCGGTAGCCCCGCGCGGGACCCGGACGCCCGCGGCCTCCGTGAAGAGTCGCGCAGCCCTCGGCGGGACAGACGCACTGTCCTCCCCCGCTCCGCCGAGACGAAGCCCGACTAAACGAGACACGCGCCCTACAGGAGCGCGGCCGTCCGGGCGCCGAGGGAGCCGCGCTGCCACAGCACGTGCGCCGGCCCCGAGCGCCCCACCCTCACCCCACGGCACGACTCCCCGCGGCCGGGCCCGGACCCCCTGCCAAGGCCACCCGGGACCCCAGACCCGCCCCGACGCGGAGGACGTTCCGCGTGGGTCCATCGGCGCGCGCAGCGGGAGGAGACGCGCCAAGGAGCACCGCCCTGCTAACGCGTGGCGGGACGCAGCTCGGGGCAGGGAGCGCGGCACCCACCTAAGTCCATGGCGGCGACGCCGGCAGCTTCGCGGGGCCGGCTCTCCCTCTTCTCAGAGAACGCGGGCGCGGCGCGAGACGCGCGGCACAATGGGCAGCGCAGGCGCCACGGCGGCCCCGCTCAGGCCCCGCCCATAGCCTCCTGCGCACGCGCAGTCCTCAAGAAGGCGCGCGCAGAGCTACAGCGCCGCCTCCACACAGAGGTCGCCCGCCAGCTGTTAGGTGCCGCGCGTCGCTCCCGGGCCGGTCCACACCGGCCCCGCCTCCGGGTCCCCGCGGATCCGGCTTGAGCCCCGGCCCCGCATTCACCCTCATCCGGTGACCCCGGGCACGCCCCGCACACTGTCTGCCCCCACCCAGCGCTTCCCCCGGGCCGTCCTCCACCCAGCGCGGCCGCACCACGCGCGGCTTCCTCCCGCCCAGCGCCGCCCCACGCGCACTCTCTCCGCGTGCTGCTGACGCGCCGCCCCTTGGGACTGCCGCAGTCGGGACCAGAGGCGGTTCTTACGGCTGCTCCTCCCCAGAAACACCGTGGAGAGACCCAGACACTGGCCCCCGGGCCTGCAGTCGCCGGTGGAGAAAACACAGACTCCGCGTGTCTTCCACGCGCCGCCCGTCCCCTGCCCCCGAGATGGAGGCCTGACGCCGGCCTTTCTGCCTCCCCGCCTCCGGCTTCCAGCACCGGCTCTCCCGGAAAGGCCCGGCCGCCTCCCACCCCATGTTCCAAGTGGAGTTCGAGCTGGCGCGCGCCGCCCTCAAGCAGCTGAAGGGCCCCGTGAGCGATCAGGACAAGCTGCTGCTCTACGGCTGGTACAAGCAGGCCACCCGGGGCGACTGCCACCTCCCCGCCCCTCCCGCGTCCGACCTGAAGGCCAAGGCCAAGTGGGAGGCGTGGACCGCGAACCAAGGGATGTCCAGGATGGACGCCATGAGGGCCTATGTGGCCAAAGTGGAGGAGCTAACCAGGAAGGAGGCCGGCTGAGGGCTCCTGGGAATGGAGTGGCTCCCTAGACCTCGACGGCTGAAATGGAGAGTAGCCGGGTTAGCCGAAACACCAATAAATCACTGACACTGCACGAGAGTGACTGACTGCTGTGGGAAAAGACACTCGGTGACTGGGTGCATGGGAGGCGTCCAGATACACGGACCGCGAAACTGTGTGGCTTTGGGTGGAGTTCCCAGCCTTCCTATTACTAGGGCGTATTGGGGGGATGGTGTGCCGTGGAAATACCCACGATCTGAGGTCGGCGAGACCCTTCTCCACTGATGGCCTCTGGGGAGGCTGAGGCCCAGCCCTTTACCTCTTCAGGGGTGATTGACGAACACCCCAACAACTACAGAGGGGAAAGGGACTCTGTCCTAAACACCGAAGCCCCCACTGGAACACAGGGCCTAGGAAGTTCATGTTCTAGGGAGACCACTCTTTCCCCAATGATAATGTGGTGAGGCAACTGAGACTTCAGAACACAGCAGCTGATAAACAAGAGAGCCGATGATGTCAAAATCCCAGGCCCAGAAAGGCTCACCGAAGGCCTCACAACCGAAGTGTTTCCGGGACTACTCTGTACTTAACCCTGGTTTCTGCTTAGGGGATGTCTGTGGGATTTCCTGCAAGAGCACAACACACCCTTTGACCTATGCAAGTGCCAGTATCTGGGCGCACTCCTGTTCATGATCACGGAGGCCACAGCCACGGCACCTAGTGGCTGGAGTATGGAGTACTAAATGGTACCCAGAGAAGCAGGTCTACAGTGGCAGGGGATTTCCTGGTACTTCTTCCTTCATAAAAGCTGTTTTCATAGGTCATGACATCAGGTCAGCTCCAGTTCTTGCTGGGACCAATAAACAAGAGAAGCAACAACCACCAAGACTTCAGACAAAGGAAACCAAACCTGTGGTCTTCAAGATCTGTTCACATAGTCGCAAGAAGTTGCTGTAGACAAAGTACATTATGAAGCCCACCCAGGAAGTCACAGCGACTAAAAAACTACTTTCGGTAACCGTGGATGGGGCGAGACCCACACTGTAGAAAGCAGTGCTGCTCTCTCTTCTTTGGTGAATGTTATCAAGAAATTCTGATACACTTAGGATCATGATTCACGTTAAATGTAAATTAAAAGTAAAAATAATACATCTTGGCTGGGGGCAGTGGCTCATGCCTGTAATCCCAGCACTTTGGGAGGCTGAGGCGGGCGGATCACCTGAGGTCGGGAGTTCCAAACCAGCCTGACCAACATGGAGAAACCCCATTTCTACTAAAAATACAAAATTAGCCAGGCATGGTGGCACATGCCTATAATCCCAGCTACTCGGGAGGCTGATGCAGGAGAATCTCTTGAACCAGAAGGTGGAGGTTGCAAGGAGCCGAGATTGGCCAGCCTGGGCAAAAAGAGCGAAAATCTGTCTCAAAATAATAATAATAATACATCTTGTTCCAAAATACGGTGACAAGCAGCTGTCTCTATAGCCAGACCACTCTGTAAATCACTGAACCTAGAGAGTAAATATGTGCCACAATTAGGACAGCAGAAGGTAACAGTAAGATAAAGTTTTAAACAAGAGAGAATAAAGATTTATCTATTTGTATTTGCTTAAGGAAGGGTTCCCCATAGGATGCAGGAGGAACGGGATTGAAGGGGATGGGGTATACTGTGAAAGGAAAACCTATCTCAGGATCAAATTCACTAAGCCAAAGGGGAAAGTTACGCTTGGAACCTGAGTCATGGAACCTGTAAAAAACTTTTCCTTTTGTTCCTAAACAGAGAAGCTACCAGACAGAAAGCCACATTATCTCCCCAGGTGGTCTCCCTAACCTGACAATGTAAATTAACAGCTTACCTTCATAGGTAAGGGACAAAGACACCAGAAACCATCCCTCACCAGCCCTGAGACAAATGTAGATGTACTGAGCTGAATGCATAACTCCTTTCACTGTAACATGTAGATTTGGTGGGCGCTAAATGTAGATTTACTGAGCTGAATGCATAACTGATGGTTCCTCTGCCCGCTGCTTTCATTGTAACACGTAGATTTGATGAGCGCTAAATGTAGATTTGCTGGGCTGAAGATAACTGACTGTTCCTCTACCCCTCCTTTCACTGTGACACGTAGATTTGGTAAGCGCTAATCAAAGTCTCACATGAATGTAACCACTTATCTCCCTCCTACCCTCCTTTATTTTTCCTTCCCCTCTTCCCTCCCTTCCTGCTCTTTCCCTTTTAAATACTGAAGCCCTAAAATCCTCTGGAAAAAGTGCTGGCCACAGATCTGTGGTTGTCTCCTTCTCAGGGACATCCTCAACTGGCAAAATATATCTCTACATGGGTGCGGCTTGTCTCAGACACTTTTCTGGTTCACAATACCTTTTATATTGTTTTGATTTTTGAACCATGCGACTCTTACTTTATATAAAGAGGGAGAGGCAAGGGTACTTCTTTATTGATCATTAAAGTCAGAGTAAATTTCCTATTGATTTCCCCGAAGGTAGGGGGAGAACTCTTAGAACAAATGGAAATTTCTCACCTCTTACCCTAAATGTCAATGGAGAAGCTGGATGTCTCCTGAAAACTCTGGCTGCTGAATCGCAGCGGCGCTGAGTGCCGCTGGGTTTGTTAATTCCAGTAACATCACACGGACATGGACTTCAGGCCGTCCTGCAGGCTAACCTACGAGAGCTCTGGTAACATGGCTGTTCTAAATCTTTCTGGAGATTCAACTCAAGGCACCCTTGTCTCTACAAAAAATCAAAAAATTAGCTGGGTCTGGTGGTCTGTGGCTGTGGTCCCAGCTACTTAGGAGGCTGGGGTGGGAGGATCTCTTGAGCCTGGGAGGTCAAGGCTGCAGAGAGCCATGATGGTGCCACTACACTCCACCCTGAGTGGTAGAGCAATGTCTCAAAAATGAAACACCAGGGTGGGCAAAGCTAGCTAGCTTTTTTTTTTTTTTTTTTGAGACGGAGTTTTCACTCGTTACCCAGGCTGGAGCACAATGGCGCGATCTCAGCTCATCGCAACCTCCGCCTCCTGGGTTCAGGCAATTCTCCTGCCTCAGCCTCCTGAGTAGCTGGGATTACAGGCACGCACCACCATGCCCAGCTAATTTTTGTATTTTTAGTAGAGACAGGGTTTCACCATGTTGACCAGGATGGTCTCGATCTCTTGACCTCGTGATCCACCCACCTCAGCCTCCCAAAGTGCTGGGATTACAGGCTTGAGCCACCGCGCCCGGCTGCAAAGCTAGCTTTCTTATAGCCTCATTTTCTAATTGATCATACCATCCTCTAGACATGGGAAAGTAATAATTTTAGTTTAAAATTAGTTTTTGCAGATCTAATGGGCATTTAAATCATAACTTTTAAAAATTACTGTTTTCTGGTATAAAATTACTTGGCTGGGCCGGGCGCGGTGGCTCAAGCCTGTAATCCCAGCACTTTGGGAGGCCGAGGCGGGTGGATCACGAGGTCGAAAGATCGAGACCATCCTGGTCAACATGGTGAAACCCCGTCTCTACTAAAAATACAAAAAAACTAGCTGGGCGTGGTGGTGCATGCCTGTAATCCCAGCTACTCAGGAGGCTGAGGCAGGAGAATTGCCTGAGCCCAGGAGGCGGAGGTTGCGGTGAGCCGAGATCGCGCCATTGCACTCCAGCCTGGGTAACAAGAGCGAAACTCCGTCTCAAAAAAAAAAAAAAAAAAATTACTTGGCTGAACTGTGCAAAAGCAAGCTTCTGGATTCCTTGATAAAAAGCCAAAGTTGTACACTAGAGGGCTTTAGGATGAATAAAATGTTAAAACACTCAACAAAGCAACATGTGACAGGCAATGAAATAAATAAAAGGAGGCCGATCTCCTAAAGCCAGAATGTCCCGGGGAGACCAACAGCATTACCTTTCACCCTGCACAGTGCCTACTATCAGGCATGGTCGAATACTTAGGAGCAAAACGTTCTGATAATGCTAAAATAGATAGATAAAATGGAAACTAGTGTGTTACTTAGTCATTCAGTACTTCTATAAACCACTTATTTTACTACAACAAACCTCAAGGGCCACATTATAGCAGCCCAATACACTGGGAAAAAGAGTTTCTTTTTACAAGGACAATATTACCAGAGATGAACATTAAAAATTACTTAATAATCTCATAGGAAATTGGAAAACTAACATACATTCTAAAGAGAAGCAGTTTATCTGATTATTCTTAAAGTTCATATAATTCCCGATGTATATAAAAAAAAAAAGAACCAATTACCTAGAGGAGGGACATATATAACTTGGTTTGCTTTGAAACTCAAGATTGCTTCCCTAGGATATGGAATTTAAGTTGAACGAAAAGTTGTAGAGCTGAATGAGAATTTTTCTCTCAGTGAAGGTATATAATATCACCCCTATAAGAAGATAAGCTGAAACTCAACCAAAATTTCCATGCCCCACCCTGCCAGTAAGGGAGGACAGCAGAGGTTATGATTTACAAGTAATTCTTTATATGTTCTTTTGGAACCAGGATCCTCTGAGTCAATCCCTTCCAGTCTCCTAAGTTTATTTTAAAAATCTGACCCACCACTTTAAATGACGAGACTTAGCGACTGGTGTAACAGCTTGATAACAGAAGCTTACTTTCAAAAAAAATTTAATTATTCAATGAATACACAATATAATTTCCAGTGATTACAACCTATTTGTTGTATAGAACCAAACAAAGCTACAAGGAAACATTTTTAAAATCTTTTTTTCAGGCTGAAGAAATGGTTTAATCCATTTTTAAGAAATCTCACGAGATGTTCTGTTGGGATTAAAAATAGACACAGGTTGGGGTGAGATAGCATGGGGAGAAATGCCAGATACAGGTGAAGGGGAGGAAGGCAGCAAATCACACTACCACATGTGTACCTATGCAACAATCTTGCATGTTCTTCACATGTACCCCAACACCTAAAATGCAATTAAAAAAAACCAAAGAAGCTAGCAGAGAGGCAGGTGAGCAGCAACATAACAGACTCCATCCCTTCTGTCTGTTTTCTGTGGACACTCAAAATGTAAAAGCAAGTAAGATGGGGGTGGTTAACCAAATCTTTTGGTCCAAGGAATAAAATTTCTTTTTTTTTTTTTTTTTCTGAGACAGAGTTTCGCTCTTGTTACCCAGGCTGGAGTGCAATGGCGTGATCTCGGCTCACCACAACCTCTGC